AATAACACAGTAACACATACAGTAATACAGTAACATACAGTAATACACTAACACATAGTAACACATACAGTAATACAGTAACACTCAGTAACACATACAGTAATACACTAACACATAGTAACACACACTAACACATAGTAACACACAGTAACACATAGGAACACACACAGTAACACATAATAACACACACAGTAACATATAATAGAATTATTCTAAGTTCTAGAATTGCTCCGCTCCAGGTGTCTGCATGTTGGAGCAGCTCTGCTACTTTCTTTCTGAGATTTTGCTTTAGGAAACTTTAATTCCTCTTTTTCTGGATATAAATCACATTTTCTGGATGATTGTTTCCTCTGGTATCAGATGCTGTGCAGCTGGAAGGATTTTTACTGAAACTTTTTTTAGTTTTGGACATTTGTTATGATGCGTAACCATGGCAACAAGGCAGTTTTCTACAACCAACAGCTGATCAACATCTCAAAAGCTCAAATAATATCTCAACTACAGCCCCAAATCTCAAATGAGTTGAAAAGGATGTTCTGTGGACGTATTCTCATCTTCTTGCCAGCTGTGCTCAAGTGCCTGACCACTGAGATCCTGGAACTAGCAGGAAACATGGGTCATGACAGAGGAAGGACAGGATCGTCCCTCAGCACCTACAGTTGGCTGTCTGCAGTGACGAGGAGCTCGGCAGACTGCTGGGAGGAGTGGCCATCGCTCTGGGAGGAGTTCTGGTGGGCATTCGGGCAGCCCTGCTGCCCAGGAGGACCGAGAGGCCAGCCGGATCTGACAACAAGATGGATCTGGGTGGACAGATCAGTATCTGTGGCCAGATTCTTCGTATTAGCTGCAGGAGATCCTTCCTTCCCACAGCAATCAGCATCTAACAACTCTTGAATAAAACCAGGATGATGAGCTACGACAACACTTAATTTCCCTCTGGGATTAATAAAGTATTTTTGAATTGAATTGAATTGAATACAGTGGGCCACTGTGGCTGAGTGGTTAGAGCAGTCGTCCTCCAATGCAAGAGTTGGGGGTTCGAATCCACCAGCAGTCACATGTTGAAGTGTCCCTGGGCAAGACACTGAACCCCTCATAGCCTCTGATGTGTGTCCCATCAGTGTATGGATGTGATAAAGCTCTGATTAGTCTCATTAGAATTATTTGATCAATTAGCTTTGTAAAGATCTAGTATAGAGCTGTATGAATGGGTAAATGAGGCACAGATTGTTGTAAAGAGCTTTGAGTATCTTGAAATAAGATAGAAAGGAGCTGTATAAGTACAGTCCATTTACCATTTATTCCATTTACAGTAACACACAGTAACACATAGTAACACACAGTAGCACAAACAGTAACATAGTAACTCACATAGTAACACACGCAGTAACACACACAGTAACACACACAGTAACATAGTAACACACATAGTAACACACACAGTAACACACACAGTAACATAGTAACACACATAGTAACACACACAGTAACACACATAGTAACATAGTAACACACATAGTAACACACACAGTAACACAAACAGTAACATAGTAACACACACAGTAACACACACAGTAACACACACAGTAACATAGTAACACACATAGTAACACACACAGTAACACACATAGTAACATAGTAACACACATAGTAACACACAGTAACATAGTAACACACATAGTAACACACATAGTAACACACGCAGTAACATAGTAACACACGCAGTAACACACACAGTAACACACACAGTAACACAAAAAGTAACACACACAGTAACATAGTAACACACATAGTAACACAGTAACATACACAATAACACACAGTAACACACAGTAGCACACGCAGTAACATAGTAACACACGCAGTAACATAGTAACACACACAGTAACACACACAGTAACATAGTAACACACATAGTAACACAGTAACATACACAATAACACACAGTAACACACAGTAGCACACGCAGTAACATAGTAACACACACAGTAACACAATAACTGAAACCTTCTCTTCTTCTTCAGGAGGATCACTGTTTGTTCTGGATGGAAAGAGCTTCATCTCACTCGTCCTCCTCCTCCTCTCCTCGCCTCCCCTCCACCCCTCCTCCCTTCAGACCCTCCTCCTCTCCTCGCCTCCCCTCCTCCCCTCCTTCCTTCAGACCCTCCTCTTCCTCGCTGTCCCCCATGTCTCCGTCCTCAGCTGTTAGTCTTCCGTCTCCTCGCCCAGCGGACCTCGGCTCTCGGTAAGATGCGTTTTTAATGGTCTATGTTTAGTTCGGATCAGAGCTCAGTGTCTGTGTGTTCCAGCAGGAAGTGGAGGAAGAGGAGGCAGCCAATGATGGCCGACATGCCAAAGAGGAGGTGAGTTCTGAGGGAGGTTCTGACAGGTTTGCTTCTGTCTGGGTTTGGTGTCTGATGGGTGTTTTCTCTCTGCAGACGCCCTGAGCTCACAGTTCAAGCTGACAACCAGCAGACAGGTCAGCTCCTGGACAACTGCTTCCTGTTCAGATGATTTCAGCTCAAGGCTCAGCAGCTACTGGCTGACTGTTTACATACTCTGACTTTTACAAACTGACTTTTTACAAATTCTGACTGTTTACAAAGTCTGACTGTTTACAAAGTTGACTTTTGCAAAGTCTGACTTTTAACAAAGTCTGACTTTTACAAAGTCTGATTTTTACAAAGTCTGACTTTTACAAAGTGACTTTTTACAAATTCTGAATGTTATCAAGTTCTGACTGTTTGCTAAGTTTGAATTTTTACAAATTCTGACAGTTTACAAAGTCTGACTTTTTACAAAGTGTGACTGTTTACAAACTCTGACTTTTTACAAAGTCTGACTTTTTACAAATTCTTACTGTTTACAAAGTCTGACTTACAAAGTATGACTGTTTACAAAGTCTGACTGTTTACAAAGTCTGACTGTTTACAAAGTCTGACTGTTTACAAAGTCTGACTTTTACAAAGTTTGACTTTTACAAAGTTTGACTTTTACAAATCCTGACTGTTTACAAAGTCTGACTGTTTACAAAGTCTGACTTACAAAG